GAAAATACTAAAATACTAATAATAAGAATAATAATATCATAGGTACACAACTTAATGATTGATACCTTGGTTAATGATTATAGGCTATAGACATGAATTAATTTAATATTATTATTAGTCTTCATGGTTATGGCTAATATAGTAAACTATTATTTAATATCATGATACTTTCTGCTATGGTCACGAACTAAAATAGTATCTATAGCTACTTAAACAATGATAAACATAATTATAATTATATTTTATTTATTTTTATTATGTATATAAAAATATTAAATAAATCTGTAAAAAAAAAGCCCAAGGGGGGGGCGAAGGCAACGTCGCCCCCCCATAAATCTGCCACTGTTTTCGATACTGTCCACTAATCATTTCTTGTCAACAAAATCTGCATATTTAATTGATCCGTCCTTTTCCGTTAATACACCGCAAACCAAAAAAAAAAAATATATATATATATTACAAATTTTATAGTCATTAAGACATATAAAATTATGTTAACTAAAACTTCCTTAAATCAGGGTAGTTTTGAGGGGTTGTTTTTGAGGTGGTAAATATATTCACCACAGCTCATTTAAAACTAAATTAGGTGTTATATATATTTATCACAGCCCATTCACTACTTCTTGTATTTTGGGTTTTAAATAAAAAATATAAATATCGGGTGATTATTAATTAAAAAACAACCAAATCAATAAATTGAATAAGTAGGGGTTGGTATATAAGAAAATGGTAACATTTTTAAATTAAAACATATTATATAAAATTAAATCAAGAACATATTTTTATAGATTAAATAGTAAAACTTATAACATATTGAGAATTTATGAATTAAATATTCAGACTTATAATTTATAAAAATACTTATACTATAAAAAGTTTAAAAATATAAAAAGATTATAATGTAATATTAGTGTTAAGGGATTTTTGTGAAATGGTTTGAATCATTCTAAGCAAAATGTAATATCACACTTTTTGCAAAGAATGTTTGAACGTTTCTGTTTTATTTTTGTACTGCAATATCCACATCGACGATATGTACTTTTGATAGGCAAATGATCACCAATATTCTGAATATAATATTGGTTTCCTACAATCGAATTTTCAGTTTTTTTTTTTCAATTTTCTTTGCATTGGTATTTGAATACCAGGTGGTTTTTTTTTTAAAATAATAACCAATTAATTTATCGGCTAAAGTTGATCTGAAATTTAGGTGTGTACATTTTGATAACTTGGGGTCGTGTAAATTACTTATTGTTTGATACAGCACAAATGAGTTAACTATACTAGCATCTAGAAGATAATAAAATATTTTTAGCCACCATCTTCTTTACTTCCAGACCACATTGTAATATGGTTGAAACTGATCGAAATTGTAGATACCACCCATGTATTAGATAATTGGAGCCTTGAGTATTTGTTTATTCCCTTAAGTATCTTTTCTATAAACAGAGCTAATACACAGTGGCGGTGCCAGGATTTTTCGCTAAGTAGGGCCAACGTAAGGCCAACAATTATAAGTTAGGGCCACCAAAAATGAGATTTCAACAAAAGATAAATACCATTATTTAATATTTTTTGCTTATGAAAAATTAATATATTATTATGTCTAAAATCAGGTCAGTGGTAGGGCCACTAGTAGGGCCAGTTATTTTCAGGTAGGACCATGGCCCTACCTGGTCAGTCTCAGGCACCGCCAATGCCAATACAGCTGCATACATTATGCATATTACTTATTAAATTTTCACATTTTTTCTCTATCTTTCCACTTACTTAATGTTATTTAATTAGAAGTCACTATATCAAACTGTCCTTGTTTCAATTCATTGTCATATTTTAAAATGGCAGATGGAAAATATTTTTTATTAAATTTAATCGTCTCACATGCAAAATTATTTTTCTCCGACATAAATATTATAGCAACAACAAACACTATAGTTTTTGATACTCATAAGTTACATTTGGAGATTTGAAACTAATATTTAAATAATTAAATAAAACATAAAATTTTCTAAATAAAAAAATATCTTAATTGTACTGTATTAAAATATAAAAATTAAACAAATTTAATATTTACGTAGTATTAAATACCAAAAAATATAACATTACATATTATAAAATGTATTATTTTTTATTTAAAAACATGATTAAAATATAAAATACAACAAAATAAATTGTTAGGTATATGCAGTTTTGGGATTATCTAGATGAAAATGTTTGTTATCTTTATCTTATTTAGATAATAATAAATGAACCGTTAATAATTATTGAACAATTTATCCGAGATAAAAAAATCACTCATCTAGATGATAATATTAATTATTCATTATCATAAAGATATTTTTCAGTTTTCCAAAAATTGTCCATACTAGTACTAGACAGTATTTGTTCGCTATTATTACATTTGTTTTATACAGTAATCAAGTAAGTTGTAGGAGCTAAAAAAGGCAAAATATGCAAGAAAAAATTGTAAAATATACATGAAAAAATTTTAAATATACAAAAAAAAAGTACTAAATATAGAGAACAAATTTTTTTTATGTTTTTATTAAATTCAACATTTTTTGTATAGTATTGTATTGTATTTTTGTATTTATATGGATTGTAATTTTTTCAATCTAAAAAAAAACAGAATGAAAGTTAATTAAAATAATTTGAAAAATTATATTTATTTGTTATTAATTCAATAAACATATAAATTATTGTAACTGTCATACCTGTTGATCTAAAAATTAAATATTTTTTCCAATAAAACATGGAAATAATCAAATAACACGATATTGTGAAATATGATACTGATATAATACCCCCTGGTCACTAAACTACTAAAGTCTAAAGTACTATCTGCAGTCCCGTGGACATTACCACTCAATTCGATGAATTGTTCGATTAAAGACTATTTATATTACAATATACATGGTGGAGCAATATTGCAATCGGAGAAATATAATAAATATTGTAGTTCCCAACATTTAATAAGTACATAACAACGTGTATACATCTATCGACCTATCTATGGAAATTAACTGTAACATTGTTTTACAATATATTTTGGCATTTTGTTAATACTAAGAACACGTCTATATAGTATAATTGACGTTCACAAATTTAATGAAGTGGTATTAATGCTTAAACATTGAAGTTGGTAGAATGAGTTTCAAATTGAAATAAATGAAATAATTGTTATTATTAAATGGCGCAATAGTTCTAACTGCTCTTCCCCTAGATAAAATATTTTTGTTCATTTTTATCTTAATATAGATAAAATTTTAGTTATCTGGACTTAACACTAGGTATATATACACGATAAATATTACAAATTTTATAACTCAAAGCATTTTTTTTTTTAATATTCCCTTGTTTCCTCTTCGTAAATTACTGATCACAGTTTGGATATTGCGTTTGGATGTATATTTTCCTTTTCGCAATAATGGTTACCCGTATAACCCTGATATTTTCTATTTAAATTTTTGATATACATATAATATTCTCTGAATAAACAATAATTATAAAATTATTATAAATTATTATTTATTTTCCATATATTTATTTTTTCATATATTTTATATATCATATCAATGCCGGATCTAAGGAAAGGGACAAGTGAGTATAATTACCCCAGATGCTATTAGTATTAGGCTACTCAAAAATTAACGAAAAAAAAAAGTCATGAATATATAACAAAATAAAATATCAAAAAAAAAAAAAAAAATCACAGTATAATGGCACTTTAAAATAATTATAATTTATAAATATGAATATACTGTCGTGTCTACGGCGTACGTGCATAAATGTTAAAAATGTATTTTTAATCAACTAGTTTATTCCGACACCCACCAGTTCCATGTTCTTGGTACCCCTATTTTAGAATTTCAAAATCTCGATTGAACCATTCGCTTGTGTAGACTGATAAACTTATTCTTAGTATTTATGCTTTTACCATTCCCGTGATATCGAACTTTTAAGTGGAAAGCTGGTGTCAAGTTCGATATTTTTAGAACCGGACTCGGACATTTCGCTGCGACCGTTTCTCCGCTATTCTATTTTTTTCCGTATAACGTTAATAAAAAAAATTGGTTGGCCATAAAATTTTGAAATTTCGTTACTATGTTGTTCACACATTGTTTATGCTCGTGTGAAAAAATTTCAAAAATTCGCAGTCACAATTTTTAAAAATAAGCGTTTGATTTTTAAATGTTTATAAAAATCACGAAATCTGCCTAAATGTAATTAAAAGTTGATAAACATTCCAATATGTATTCTAATATAAGATTTAAAAATGTAATATAACTTATTAAAAAAAAAAAATATCTTCTGGTTACAATATAAAAAAATCGGGACAAAAAACAAAAATGTAGGAATTTTTCTTATAATACATAAATAAATACTATTTTTCAGTCGGTATAATTAATATTTATAATATATTCTAAATAAAGCATTATATTATAATATTTATTGGTAAATAATAGCACTAAAACTACGAAAATGATACTTAAAATCTAAAATATTTTAAATATGCAAAAGACAACAAAATTTCATTTTTAAATCTTACATTAGTATACATATTAGAATGTTTATCAACTTTCAACTACCAAAAATAGGCAGATTTCGTGATTTTTATCAAGATTTAAAATTCAAACGCTTATTTTTAAAAATTGTGACTGCGAATTTTTGAAATTTTTTCACACGAGCATAAACAATGTGTGAAAAACATAGTATCGAAATTTCAAAATTTTATGGCCAACCAATTTTTTTTATTAACGTTATACGGAAAAAAATAGAATAGCGGAGAAACGGTCGCGGCGAATAATCCGTCGGCGAAACGATCACAGTGAAATGGTTTCGGTGAATATTCCGGTGGCGAAACGGTCGCGACGAAATGTACTATACCCTTTTAGAACGTTGAATGCACAAATGTCAGTAACAGGTGCACAAACTAGTACAGATCAAACACAAACGAGTAGCCCAATTTAGACTTTCAAACTCTAAAAAAAGCGCCAAAGTCATGGAACTGCTATCACTGAAAAAGGTCTGAAATCTTCATCGGGCTTATGGATGTCGGTAAAATTCATGTTGAACTCGCTCAACGATTCCTTGATATTGGTTGATTCGTAACTAAATAAAGGTTGAGTCAGAGTGTCCGATGAAATAACCGGTTGTCTTAAATTTTCCTCCAATTTGCCATTATTGGTAGCTCTATGTACGGCCATGGGAGTTTCGATATTGCCTTCTTTTATCCACGAGCTTTGCAAAGCTCTTTTAATTGTTATACGCTGAAGAATATCTGGTTCCAGGAACATGGTGGTCAATATTTTAAGAGACTCGCTTCGATTCAATACGTTTCTGAACTTAAAATCTTTAGCCAACTGTTTACAGAAACCACAGATGTTATTAATAATATTAATTACTTATTACAGTTTTCCTATTTTGTGAAACGTTCGAGTAGAACTGTTTGACACATAAATAAAGCCATTTAAATCAGTAATCTGAAAGCCATTACTCATTATAATTTATACTGCCAACAATATAACAACATAGAAATTGCTTTGGACGACGTTTCCGAATTAAAATAAAATGAATACTTAACAATATCGATTACCAAGTCCCAAACATTATTAGGTTTATAATTATTTTCTATCGCAACCCGTATTATGTTCCACCTGGCGATACACATATTTTCATCATTAACTCCGTAAATCGAATTTAAGTATTAACGATTTATAAAACGTTCTGCAGTAACCGTAAAAATCACAACTTTAAACAATCACTGTAATCTCCTTTAAACGAAACAATTTTTATCGCGCATATTTCAATGCAATAAGCCTGGCGCATAATACATTTTTTCACGCAGTCGAAACTACACGTTTTAATAAGACTAAACCAAATGTTAAGTATTGGCCCAACTCTGATCGTCAACCCGACCTTATCAGCGAACTTAGAGTCGACAACCGAATTGTAAATACTATCACAATGGCATTTTAATAGATGAAAATAAAAACGTACAATTTTAATTTTAATAGTTTGGGTAAATCGTGTTTTCATTTTCCGTTACCCAAAAGGTTAGTATAAGTATCGTCGAAACTCGTCGAAACGCGACGCTGAAAGCAGAGATTCTAACCGACTTCTTGGTACGCTCTGCAAACAAAGACTCTACCTAAACCTAAGTGTACATAAAATCGAGTGATTTATTTTCATTTTTCTATTTTGACATAGGCATTATCCTGGCAGATTCGTTCGGCCCGCGCGTAATTTCACCTGGTATGTAAATTTCATCCACGTGTGGTCGCGGATGACAAGAAACGTTACGGCGAAATAGGTTTTCGGAGGTTGCTAATTTCGCTACTCCGTTACGAAATTAAGCCAATCGTTCGGGTTTGTCCAATGGTAAATTCCCGTCCCGTATGAAGCATAGCAGATAAACATTTTTATATATAATATCATACACAAACAAAGAAATACATATGTTCATGGCTGAAAAACCAGATAATAAAATAAACGAACGTTTCGATTATTTAATGATAATTCATATAGAAGAAAATTGTAATTTCCCTATTAGTATTTGGGCTAATGCTAGTTTTTGTAGAGAAGTCTTACTACGCATGCTTGTGAAAGTTTTCAATCCAAGTTTAACTGAAATTTTTCAAATCATTATCATCAAAATAATAGAAGTCTTAAAAATGTTTCAAACGAACACACTTATATTAAAACAAGAACATCGGACACGGATAGAGTTAAAAAAAATAAGCGAAATAAACATTTTATAAACAACCAATTACACAAATACAATTTAGAATAACACTGTATGATTATGTAATAAGTTTGAGTTTTCATAATGTAAGCCACATAAAATTGAATTTATATTATTATTATTATTATAATTATTTATGAAAAATACTGAATTAAAAATTGGGTTAGAAATTTTTTACACACCGTTGTCGGTCTTGTGACTGAATAAAATGGGAATTCAATTTGTATTCGCGTAGAAACTTACGTATCCAAGAACGATTTTCACCCGCTACGTTCCGTGCGGCAATTTACATTCGCACCGCCCCCGATACCTTCGGTACGAGCCCCGAAAACGCTGCTGACCTAACCAATCATACACACACCCCCTTTTTTTTTTTACTGCGTTTATTCGCGACCGTTTTTCGACGCACACACGTACGTCACCTGTTTATTGATTATGTCCTTCTTCCGGGAGTCGTTGAACGGCGGCAGGTTGTTGGCCATCATGAACAGCACCACGCCGATGGCCCACACGTCCGCGACCACGGGGTTGTATGGCTTCGTGCCCAACAGCAACTCCGGCGACAGGTACGTCTGCGTGCCGCATATGGACTTGGCGCGCGGGTTCCGGCCGCGGCTCACGAACCGCGCGAACCCAAAGTCGGCAACGCGCACATTGTAGTTAATCGTCAGCAGCAAGTTCTCGCACTTGAGGTCCCGGTGCACCACGCCCACCCGGTGCATGTACTGCAGCGCCCACAGGATCTGCACCAGCCACGAGCGGATCTGCGGCTCAGACAGCCTGACCGTCTTTAGGAACGCGGCCATGTCGCCGTTGACCGCGTACTCCATGTTTATGTACACCCTGTTGTAGTTCTGGTAGATGCTGTACACCTGGCGTGATGATGAGCATGAGAATCTACGAGTGGGGGTACGCGTTGGTGGGATGCGACCGGGAAGGAGGGTGACGTCCACCTTTCGGAGGAGATCCCATTGTAGGCGTACGTTTGAAAGGTATTTTTAACATGAAAGAATTGAGTTTCACGTCTAACGATAAGTGAGTAGAGGTGTTGAAAAATAATAATTTACTACGAATACTTAAATACATATCGGGCTCCAGATTTACCTTATCGTTAGAGCCCCAATATCCTAGTAGTACCACGGTTTCGTGCGAGGATCAATATGAACGGGCAGTTGCTGTGGTTTTTATCCCACTTGCAGGGATCGATATCGACATGATTGTCTATCAATTTGTTCGTGTTCGCAGGCCAAAGGAGCCCACCGCGATTTGCAGGGATGAGATATACTAAACAAGAGTGGGCACTGTGGTGGAACTAAAGCGAGAAAGATTTAAAGCGTATTCTACTTAAGCGTAAAATCTTAGCAGCAGTAATTTTTGTAGTACACAATCTATTGTCGACTACTAGTTCGATTTTTTTAACTTCGTCACTGGTAATGAGTTTAGAACTAAAGTAAATACGATTGTATGCTAATTATCAGAAAATTGGGGAAGGGTATTTGACTCTTATTCTATGATAGAGCGTAACTTTAACATTTTCCCCGTGCTTAAAAATTCCTAGTTCCCACTCGGAGTGGATGTGACACTTACACAGCATTACAAGTAGTTGTTTCAAAACGGTAATGTTAACAATTATTATGGTAAAATATCAATATTTTGAATTCATTTCCATCATTGGGAAAAAATGAAAAGTTTTATTTTTCGTTTTATATTTTTGGAAAAAATGCCAGTCATGACATGATGTTTGGTAATTTTTTTTTTTTTTTGTTTTTATTTATCTACAAACAAATAGCGGTGAAATATTCATTATGTAATATTGTTTTTGAAATTACGAGTATTTCAAAGTACTATTATGATATTGAATAATACTCTATAACCGTATTAACTAAAAAAAAAAAAATATTTCTAGACTTCATCATCTATGAGTCGTAAAATGACCATAGTTTTATTATCATTATTATCCCAGAAAATATCGCAATTGATACATCATAACAGGAATAGGGGGTGCTCTGTTTAGACCTCTTATAAGGTTAATATCGAAAAAATATTCGGCATTCAAACATTTTGGTCCCGGTCTGTTTGTTTGTTTCTCTCTGTTGGCCGAGTGCTAGTCCCCTGCCCCAGTTCGAGCCACGTTCCAGACACATAATGTAACATTTATATGCTTACCGGTATCACGAACGGATGTTTTAGTTTGAGCAGCACATCGAGTTCACGGGGCAAAAACTTTTGGACGAAATTATCCGAGACGAAATTCTTGTCGATTACTTTTGTCGCCACCATTTTGCTTTTGATATCCCCGACTCGGGTCAGGTACACCTTAGAGAACGATCCCGTGCCCACAAGCCGCTCTACGTATATGTGCTTTTCTCTTAAAAACGCCGCGTCCGACATTGCGGATACAAGCCGGTATATCAGTGCTAAAATATGTTTTTATATTAAACGTTTTAATACTCTGTAGATAAATATTTTTATGTATTTATACTGTAATAATTCATGTATACCTCAACCGATAAAATCAACATGTTAAATAAAACGAAATATTTCCAAGGTAATATTGTGTACGTGTTATATAATTATATTCTCGTAACTGTGTACAAAACCGCTGCTATTTTAAAGGATAAATTATCAATAAAACTTTTTACGGATTAAAGTTGTCATCAAATATTATTGATACCTATGTGAATTTAAATTTGATTTTGTTCGTTTCTATGGTGAGGGACACTCTCAGAAATGTAGTTCGGAGGGGGGGGGAACAAATAGACGCTGAGTACCCGATATGAGTCGGGACCGGCTTTATGTAAAAAAACTTCTCATTATGTAACTGACATGAAAAATTTCAAATGAATAATGACTCCCACTGCTCCTCCCTCACACTTGAGGGTTCCTGAAGACACACATTGTCACTGTAATTCAAACAAGTTATTCATAGTTCTTAAAGTTCCTTGTACTTCCAATTGTTCGGCACTGAAAGCAACAACAACCAGATATCCTCTTGTCTAAAGATTTTGTTTGTTTAGTTAAAACATTTTATTAAGAAAATTTGATTTGCTCTGATGGTTGAGTATTTTTAAATGAAATTTGTTTCAAATTTTTAATTCCCTTATGAAAAATATGTATTAATTTAAAATATTTAGTTCTAGCTTAGTGATTTAGTTGGTCACTACATTACATTTTCTATGACTAATCCAAAATATTTCTTATATTTTTATAGTTTTTTGTACTAAAATATTACGAATTAAAAACTTTTTAAAACTATTCTATAAGAAAGTTATAAGCATATTATAATTCAGCAGTTCTCAACCGGGGTGACACAAAATCTTTTAGGGAAAAGGAAAAAAAAATAAAAATAAGAAAGTAATTAATATTTTAAAATAAAATCATATTATTGCCGCTTATGACGTGTAAACAGCATACTTCAAGGGTAATGAAGTTCATATCTATATATTATTTGTATTTAGTCTAAACGACTCAATTAATTAGTTGGTTGTGTAATATATAATTTGGTTGTACTGGTTGTATTATTTTATTTTATAAAGATATATAAGCATAAGCGTGAGCCGACATTACTAGCAAGGTAGTCATACATAACACATTAACATTTAATATTAACAACAAATTTGAATAGGGTAACTTCATTTAACTGAATAATTATATTTTTCCAATATTTTCATACTTGTACTTACCGTTTACGGACATTTCGAAGTGGTTGAATATAATATGATTATTTATTATTGTGATAATATTGAATATTTTGGTGAGAGAGGGAAGGTTTTTGTCAAGTGCCTACCCTAACTACTCCGTGCGCACACTTATGTATATAAGTCTACTAACTATACACAATTTAAAACAATTAATGAGCGGTTAGAATAATTTTCTTTATAAATACCTATTTTTGACTCTTTTAGTATCTCGTATTTATTCTTGTTATATACGTTATTATATACGTTAGCATAAACGACTGATTATTATTTTAATTTCTGTCTTCTGTTTACTTTTAGTTTTAATTTATTTATTTTTGCCTATCTTTGTTTTATTAATTTAAATAGTAATTATTGGTGGTCATTATTAAAAAAAAAATGAATTAACAAATGAACAACTATATACAGGGTGCGACAGTCAATCCGATGATTTGAAAAAATAAAAAAAAATAGAAAAAAATTTTTTATTCATTTTTCGCCGAACAAATAAAAAGTACACAAGTGAAATTTTATGTTATATATTAAAACCTTCATTTTTTAAAGATTGTGTCGGGCAAATGCCTCCCTTGGTTAGCCACACATTGTGAGAGTCTGACACCGAAGCTTCCCATGACGTTGTGAAGTGTTTCCAAGGTTAGGGCGAATTCGCTCCTTCAAGTCAACAATAGTCCTTGATGAGTTGTTTTCGAACACCTTGGATTTCACATAACCCCAAAGTAAAAAATCAGGAACCATCAAGTTCGGTGAACGAGCAGGACACTGGATGTCACCGTACCGACTAATTAGACACCCTGAAAATACCAGCTTCAACAGATCAATTGAGATTCGGACAGTATGGCTTGTTGCACCATCTTGTTGAAAAAGTGTGTTTTCATCTGTGTCGTATTCTTCAAGTGCAGGAAAAAAAATGTGGCTAGCATATCACAGTAGCGTTCGGAGTTTACTGTAATGGCGCTGCCCGATTCGTTCTCGAAAAAATATGGGCCGATTATTCCAAGTGATGATAGGGCAAACCATACTGTTACTTTTTGTGAATGGAGGGGTCTCTCATGCTGATGTTGTGGATTACTTTCCACCCAATACCGAAAATTCTGTTTGTTGACAAAGCCACTTAGGTGAAAGTAGGCTTCGTCACTCATCCATAAGTTGTGTACCCTATCTTCGTTTTCATTGAAAAGCGTTAACATGTGTTGGCAAAAGCGTAATCGGGTATTATGATCTTGTAGATTGAGTGCTTGAACTACCTGAATTTTGTAGGGATGGAAGTCCAAGTCATGCTTTAATATTCTCTTCACAGTCCGATCACTTAGGCCAAGTTCTTTGCTGTGACGCCTGGCTAACTTTCGGGGACTTCTCCCAACTGCTTGTTTCACCCGCTCTATATTTTCTTGAGTCCGTCTGGTTTTTTTACTACCACCTCTTTTTTGAGTCATGCTAGCTGTGGTTTCAAAGTTTTTTATCCACAGGTCGATGGTACCACGAGAAAGCACAGGATCGCGTAGAGATAAACCAAACTGTCGGCGAAACGCACGTTGAGCGCCTACAAAACTATTATTACTCTTGTAATACGCTTTTACCACGAACGCACGCTGTTCACTCGACCAATGCTCTATGATTACTAAATTCTGGGTATTTAAAAGCGATAAGAACATTCTCATCTACCACTTTAGCCACGCCAACCAGTTCTTGTTAAAATCGTTGGGTTTGACTGATTAAATAAAATAATTAAAATTAAATTAAAATTAAGAACTAGTAAATGGTTTATACTCGTAAATTAATAAATTAATTAATTAACAAATAGTTTGTACATGGAAATAATTAAATTAATGCTTAGCTTAGAGTATTATTATATTTGTAAGGAATTGTTTCGAATTAATAGTTAAATACTGAGTATATTCAAAGTCGATAAAATCGTAACTTGAATATTTATTTTTTTATTTCTATATATAAACTATTTGTTTATTCATTTGCGAATTAATTTACGAAAATTAACCATTTACTAATTTTTAATTTTAATTGACTTTTTTTATTATTTTATTAAAAAAGTTCACAAATCCGTAACATTGTATTTTTCATAGCTAAAAGGCCAAAGCGAAAATATGCGTTCTAAAAATAATGAAAAATATTACCTATTGTACTTATGCGACGCACAATATACGCAATATATCTATTTATACCATTAAATTTAGACAACCGTAAATAAAGATGTAGTTAAATACTTTTTTTTTAAAAAAAATCAAACATTATTTTTAAACTAAAAAACCTATCTAATAATGGTCTTATTGATAGTTTTTTCATTTATAAAGCTTATAAATTAATAAATAAAAAAAAATCTTAAGATCCTTAGATAGATTTTGCTCAGTAACATTAAAGCAAATGCTCGTCTGAATGATAATGTCGTACATCTTAAATAGCATATTACACCATTACATTATTTAGTAAAACTTTTTCGCTTTTGCAGTTTTATTGCTTCACCGCAGAACATTGTTTCAACATTGCGATAAAATTATAATAGATACATGTATAGGACACATTGACTAGGTGAGAAAAGTTGAAGCTATAATTATAGACGTCAACGAATTATCTCTATAGAAGTACAGTGTAGTGTACGTTTTAGTCATTCAGACCGTGAAACGATTACAGCTGATTGTAATGACACATAAAAACGAACCGCAATTGATTGATAACTGAATATTGTTTGAATAACAAACATAACAACAAGAGTCCTCTGTGCAATATGGTCATCAATAATGTCGATGTTGCAACACCGTACGAAAAACAAAAATACTAACTGGTAAAAGTCAATAGTATTTTTGTTGAGAATATATTAAAAAAATAACGCGTATACCTTAAGACATTAATCGAGTAAGCCAGGCACAGATCAAAGTGGTGAAGGGTCGAATAGGGTGCGAGTCCCCACAAATTCCTCAAAAAAAAGATTATTTTTTTACACACACGGCAAAAAAAAATTTCTATTGAATTTTATTGGTTATTTAAGAATCCTAAGCTTTTCATTTACTAATAAAATAATATGAACATTATACATCGTACAGAATCGGTTATAATTTATTTTATTTACAAGTAAAAAACTAATAATTGTGTTGTATCCTGTGTCAATCGATAATATACAGAGTACTGTTATAAAAATGATTAAAACGTTATCTTTGTGCGTGCAGGAAATCGTTGACCGTCGCACTTCACATATAATTTTCGTCATTTCCATGAAAAAAAAAAACAATAGTTTTTTTATTAGTAAATCTCGAGTTTGGAAATATAAATTCTGCTCATGAAACATTAAATCATTTTGATCAAAATTATTATCCAATACATACATAATTTCTTACAATTACATTGCCAATTTCTGTCGTAACTACAGAAATTTTTTTTTCCTCTTTAAGGCTGCTTAGAACTTAGTTGAAAGAATGGGAGAACAAATAATGACTGGGTCGACTCTCACTTAATGAGCATACGAATATAAATATCTTCAGTGAAAATAACAACAACAAAAATATAATTTACAAATTTTCTAAAGAAAAACAACGAAAACTTTACTTTGTATACCTAATAAAAATAAAGTTTACAATTAATTTTTAATGTTTACCATAATATTATATAACTTTAATTATATTCCTTAAATTGTTATATAATTTAACTTTGTTGCTAAAGTTACAACTTAAACCATACATATATTGCTATGCACCTCCCCGTGAAATATTTCTGGATTCATCCCTGGAGTAAACGCGTTTAAAAAAATGTATGAAACTTGTTTCGTAAGTACGTCGCGCACCGTTGATCATAGAATGAACTTAATCAATACGCCAATATATTCTATGCTAATTAACGCGACTAGACCCTCCACTAAAAAAAAAAAAAAATGTGAAACAATACGTGATTTTAATATTATTCCTATGATTTGAATATGTAAAATCCGTTGCACCTTAATATTACCCGACGGAAAGGCTCTTTTCGATTATTACTTCCGAAATTTAATTAACCTTATCCTATGCGAAATGGAACGATAGACATTACATTAAGCGTACACATTAAACAAATCCGTTAATAAATAATGAAACTAGTGATGTGTTAGTATAGGTGATTAAAAAACTAACAAAAATAATACTTGGGAAACCGATGCGTTATCCAATATGTGACATTTTTAGACGTGTTTTTTATATTGATACTATGTTCAAAAACCAAGCGATTTGTTTTGTTTGTAAATTTTCATTAGTATTATGAATTAAAGGGACGTCATAAAAATGAACGATGATAAGAAAAATTTGGTGCTTTATTTTTCATAATTATTAATTTTTCATTTATACTTTAATATCAGAGAGGTGCCTATCAAATTGTATATTATACTCATTTACCATTAAATATAAAATTATGTAAATAATGTGTAACGTGCCTAAATAGAATAAAAAAATATATATAGAAAATAGAAAATCGAGACGAGAGGAAGCTTAGGACAAGAGTAGCCGACCACAAATATTTGGGAGAAAAACGAAGGAGAAGAAGTGTTACATGCCTACAATAGTATATAAATTACTATAGAATATTTTCTGATAAACGATTAATAAATTATAAATTTTACCTGTATTTGAATATAAATCGAATTCAACCAAATTTCGACAGTTCAGTAAACAAATATCTAATACTTAATATCTATATGATAATATACTTATCATGGCAATTTTATACACGTCATACCTACGCAGAACGTATATTTATATTAAATAGTTCTAGTTTGTTGATATTACTAAGAAGTTTGCATAACTTAAATTAAGGAAAAAATACTTTGTTTAACCTTAAAGAGTTTTATACATAATTTTCAATTGTTGAAATATCAAATCTTTCTTATGAAATTATAAAAACATTGTTATTACTTATTATAATAATTAATAAGTTGTTTTTTTCAATATAAAAGGTAATTGTAATATTTACTCAAAATGTTTATGTTAGTATATCGAATGTAACACATAATTATGGTACAAAGATTTTTTATAGTTGTTATGTACAGTTTTATGAACAGAGCCATTTTTCAATAATTAAATCCAGCGTTTCCCAAACTTTTTCTTTGCGGATTTCTTAAAAATAATAAAAATGAAGGCGGACCCCTTTCATACAAATAAAAATTAAAAACAATAATAAATAATAATACTTTGTGTATTTTTAATTTACGTTCATGGACTTTTAGGATATACATACGGCCACCTTGGGATTCACGGACCACAGTTTGGGATACACTGATTTAACCAACATAATGAAGTCTGTGTTAACTTTGAAATATCATCCAAACAAAACAATTACATTTATACAATTAAGATTAAAACAGGTAACTATAATAACTATAAAAAATAAGCGGGTAACTTAATTAATAACTATTAAACATATATAAGGAATGAGGTGTACAAGGGCATCCATTTAGGGACAAGGAGGGGACATGCTCCTTGGAATTTTTTATGATTATTATTTAAATACATCAAAAAACATATTTATTGTATATTTGATTATATTTTCAATATATTCATCAATTTTAGAGCTCGTTATCAATAAATAGCAGTTCGTTAAAACTAATTTGTATTCCGTGCATCAACACATCAAGAATAATTTATTGTCAATTCTTAGAATGCATAGAACATATGCACATTACCATAATACTTTTTGAAATATTAGAAAATATTACCAGTGATTTAGACATTGACATAAAAATTCCAAGACTTTCGAACCAACAAACAAATCGGTTAAATCATAACGTTAAAACACTTGAAGAGTATTATAGTGTTTCGGTTTTTTTGTCATACCTGGAATCTTTAATTAATTCTTTAGAATCTCGTTTCTCGCAAACCAAAGAAACTCCATTTGAAATAGGTCAAATTATATCCATCGGAAGTGATAAAATTAAGCAAATGCGACTTCATATGTACAACAGAAAAGTGTATGATTTATACAAAATGGTTAATTTTATTATGAAGGTACATTATTGGAATATTATTGAAAAATTTACTAAAATTAATGGTGAGTATAATATTTCATACTATCTAAAGGATTGTGAATTATTTCCATCAATTACATGACTATACCTCCTACAAAATTAACTAGAGATGTAGAGATCATATTTTTTTTCTTCTTCTCATTCACATTATTTTTAATATTTAATATTAATTTTCTTATGCGTCTCTCAATCGTAAAATTAACTTAAAAGTTATTTAACTAAAAGGGTTGTTTCACCCTTAGAAAAAAGGCCTACCCAAGTGAACAATAAAGCGAACTTTAAATATTTTTGTTTTATTCAGTAATTGTGTAACTTTGGCAATAAAATAAAGTATAACTATTGTATTACACCCATTAATTTATATTACCTATCTAGAAAAAATTAATGATTTCTACTATTTAAACCGTTAGCTATTGAATGTTGATTCAATAGCTAATTTTTTACACACAATTAAATTTTTTTTAATTAATAATACAAAACAAGATTTAATATTCAATATGAACAAAACATTACATTACACAGGTCATATTCACTCAAAACAGTTCAATCATTCCAGTGTTATACAAATCAATTCAAAACCATTTTTTAGTAAAAAAAAAAAAAAAACATTGGAATTCCAACAGAATAATGAACTCTAATATTGGCTCACCATTCATAGTTTAATCATACCGACTCCCATTACAATATTTCAGTTACAATCCTCTAAAATCTAGAAGTCATAATTTTGAATGTCTTAAATGAAAATATTGTCATTCCTGATATTAATTTAACTAAGCGAAATCAAAATATCAAATTTAACAATGATTAATTTTTTAAAACACTTCATTATGTTACCATCTGTAGGTTTCCTATTACAAATTCTGTAAATTTTATGATTTTTGCAAAAACCCTTATTTTCGAAATATTAAGAAAAATATTTAACATATTAATTCATTTAAACTAATACCAACATATATGGGCAAAACAACAATACAACAAATTTCGATTACTAATAATTTAGAGAACAAAACTACATATAATAAATTATGGCATTTATTATTATTAAAAAGTTTGTAGTATGTTGTACATAAATGAACAGAATATTAATAAGAAAAAAAAAAGTTCAATTGTGTAATTAATACTAATCAGAATTAATGACAACTGATATGATAAAATGAAAGTATATAATATTAATAATAATTATGATTATAAATACATTTATTAACTACTTAGATAAAAAAAACTGTTCTACATAATAATGTCCCTTAGGAATATCAAAAAAAAAAAGTTCTTATTTTAATAAGTAAATAATATGTATGATTAAATATAAAATATGATTCTTAAACAGTATTCTTTAAGTATTCGTCAAACAAATACAGTGACAAGCTCGCATCATCGGAGGAAATTAATTGATGCAAGTCATTGGTGTAACCAGACAACTTTCTAATTGAGTCGGAGTGTTTGTGTACAAAATTATTTTCAATGTATGATGCAACCTATGAGAAAATATCACACATTAATATTAATATAATAAAAATATTTTAGTATAAAAGTATTCGTAAATAAAAAAAATCACAAAGAATAACTATTTAAACAACAAAATACATAATATTCACCTCCGAGTCATGGTTCTCAGTATTTAATATTTTCTTATGAATATTATTTGCACCTCTAGCTAAATTCTTCTGCAATTCCAATGCCTTAGCCATACTTCCCAATTCGTGCTTTTCAAATTCAAAAATCTTTAAAGTCAGAAAATGAAATATACATTAATTTTATATATTGACAGTTCAATTAAATATTTTTAAAATAATAAATTAATACTAAATAGTAAAAACCTTTTCAGAATCATAAGCATTTTCTGTATTAGTAATTTTATTGAACTGCATGTGACCTCCACGTTTAGTGATAAACTTTATAAGATCAATGGACTTTTCCCAGGCATCATCAGACAATTCTCTGAAAAGTTTTTCGAATCCCTCACGGTTTGCTTCATAGTTTCCAAAATAAGAAGACTATAAAAATAACAAAAATACATTTCATTTTACAATATCAGTTTAAAACTAGTTACTTTCTCGATAATTTATAATACTAAATACGTATTGGTTAGTTTTAAAATTTACCCATTTTATTAAATTAGAGATAAAAAATAAAATATATTATAAACAAATTATACTTAAGGAGCAAAAAATTAACTAGAATATTAAAGCTTCATTAATAATTTATTTATTGTGCTTTTCAAAATATGCATTAAAATGATTTACTTGTTTATTTAACAAAGTTAATTAAATTGTTTTATTAATAAACAAATAAATGATATACAAACAAAATTATTACTCTTTGAGTTTTGTGCAAAAACATTATTTTTTTCTTTTTTTTTTTAAATTACAATTTTAATGCCAAATAGTTTTTATGTGAAGGATAATCATGGTTTAATACAGTAGTTTTCAGCTTGGGGGTCGCGAACCATAGGTTTGGGGGTTGCCAAAAATAATGGATGAAATGGTTTTCCATATTATTAAAAAAAAAAAACAAAGTAAAATATTTATTTAATAAAATTTTTAAGTGTTAATTAATCAAAATTGTTTATCATGTAAATATTTTATCGGTAATTAAATCAAATTTAGATAAATAAAACCAAATTTTTTTTTTGAAGGGGTCGCATTACACAAAAATAAAAAATGGTGGTCACGATCTGAAAAAGGTTGAAAATCACTGGTTTAATAACATATTAATCAAAAACATTCATACACAAACTATCAATAAACGCTATTTATAAATAATATCTACCATAAGCAAGTAATGGAAACTTTTCAAAATATGATCTTGAGTGTATTGTTGTACATTTTTCATAATGTCTTCGTTATCGAAAGCCCCGTACTTGGAATTACATTTTAGAGGTAAACTTGAACCTATATCATAAATAATAAAAAATATTTGAATAGATATTTAAATATAACATAAAAAATTAATTTAACTTACTACAATTTTAACTTACCAGTGCTGCTGCATACACTTTTAACACTTGAGTAACAAGTATCAGTTGCGTAACTGACACAGAAGACGGAGATCACACAAATCACAAATAACTGTAATTTCATTTTGAAACTGAAAGTAAATAATTGAAAAAAAGAATAAAATATATTAATAATATAATATACGTCAAATAATGAATTAAGTTTATACAAATTATGAACATCAATATATGCATAAATATTATTAAGAGCTATTGTTTCATTAATGTGAATAATTATAATAAAAAAATAATATACAAATAATTTATAATAAAATATTATCATTATAATTATGCCAATAACATATGTTAAAAAAAATAAAAAACCATAACTCTTAGAATCAATTGAAAGTAATATTAAATGATTAAAACTCAATAAGATTTAAATATGAATCCTATTTTTATAAATTATATTATAAAGGTACAAATTGATTGTTTGAAATTATCTTTTCATTAAAACTAAATAGTAGTATTACATAAACTTAATATACAATTGATAATATATATACTATAAAGGTAATATATAAGTTAGCATAAATATATAAAATAAAAACTTGGATAGAATAATAGTTACAATTTTTAATATTTTTATTTAGATTCAAAAAAAATGCAAATTACTGAATCAAAATAATTTTTAATGAAAAAAATCAATTTAGTTATTCATTATAGTGCATGTATCATCATTTTATTGTCAAATCAGTTAGCAAATATTTTTGAAAAAGTAAATAATTTTTTTAATTTTCAAAAATTAAGCCCAACTAAAAACTCACACGCGCTACACTAATTTAATAAAATGTCAATCAATAACCAATTGAATAATCTTCTATAAGTTAAATATATTTAATTTATCTCCAACTTCAGTCTAACTATATACGTTTATATGTATATTGTACAGTGTAATGAATTTTTCTTTAATAAATTGAACATAAATTAGTATAAAAACAACATATAGTATAAATTATTTTTTTTTTTTAAGGATATTTGAGTGATTACATATTTAGTGCACTTTTGTTCCCCTCCCCCATTATAAATTTCTAAATATGCCCCTGATGGAGTTATAATTGAAAATAAATTTAAATCTATTAAAATGTGTAACAAATACTTATTATGAGGTGAATGTCCTAATGATAACAATTATTTTAATCCTTATAAGTAATTACTTATGTTAAGCAAGTTGCAATAATATGTAATTTATCTACTCGAGTGTTTTCCAATTATATGAACTACATGTTATCAGCAAGAAATATGTGAATGGTACTTTATTGGAAATAAGGTGAGCAGAATCATTATTTGATACCTTGAATTTAATGTTTATTGATTACAATAAAAATTTAAGCCTAATGAACTAAAATAGTAAATAAAACACTCATTTAAATAGATTTAAGTTCACAAATGTTAATATATGTATATATATATTTTTTATTGGGTTTATCCCTTTTGAATTAATAAATAAATAAATATATAAATAAAATAGTAGTTTAAAGAACAAATATCATTCAATAGTTATTAAAACTAGACATTTATTGTGAAGAATACTGTATTACATTGATAAATAAGTGTATTTTTAATACTTAAGAGCACATAGCGTAATCTGTTATAAATTATTATTTATTAACTTATGCTCTAAATAATTGTTTTAACAATCATAACTAGGGTTCGGATTTTAAGGTAATATAATCAATAAAAAAAACTAAAAAAAGGCATTGATTTATCTTGGATACACATTTTAATATAAAAATTATTTTTCTATTATTATTATTAAAAAAAGGCTTTTACCTTCAAAACCAAACCCTAATCATAATATATATATATATAATATACTATGAATACCTATATAATATATAATACTATATATACATTATATAGCGTTTAATTTATATAAAAAAAGCAATTAAAAAATTAATTCAAAATTAAATAGACTAACTAGTTAGTAATAAAAAAAATTCACTATCATGTTCTTAGATAAGCTATCTTCAGTAAAACTTTGACAGTTTGGTCTTAAAATATTTTTGTATATAGAAAATGATTTTTCGATTGGGGAATACTCCATACATAAATAATTATCTAAATCAAGATTACTTATAATTTTAAACATAACATCGCCAGTGCAAAGTATTCATAAGCTCTTATTGATTTGTACTAATAACACCTAAGTTGTGTAAAAATTATTAAATCAATTGAAAATCAAACACAAAAAGGCACAAAAAAAAAGCAAAAAGGTAATTATAAGAAAAAAAGGGGAAAAATGCATCCATTATCTTGGATACACATTTTAATATAAAAATTATTTTTTCTATTATTATTAAAAAAAAGGTTTTTACCTTTAAAACCAAACCCTAATCATAATATATGTATAATATACTATGAATACCTATATAATATATAATACTATATATACATTAAATAGCGTTTACACTTCGGGTATTTTAATGGAATATGTAAACGAAACTACATTGTAAGTGATCGCAGAGGTTAATGAAATGTTAATGACTGAATTATCATTAGACTATATAATAGTATTTTATTGTTAAGTAATAATGTTCTACCACAATACTTTATGTAGTGTTTTAGGTGATTTTTTTATGTTATAATAATTTGGTAATCAGTGCTTAAGATTTCTATTTTATACTACTCATGACATTTTAACACTATACACTTTAAACAATATTTTTGTTTGATATTGAAATTGCATTAAATATTATGCAGATGTACTCATAAAAAAGAGAATTTTTTTAACAAAGGAAAATATTTGTAAAACTAAAATTAACGTTATCATATTATTTTTAATTAACTACATTTAAGTTAATTAATAGTGAATTAATAAATTATTTATATGTGCAATGTACAAAGTAGAATACCTAAACGTAGAAAAAATAATTCAATTTCCAAATTTTAAAAACAAAAATCGGGATCATTTATATTATACAATAGTTAAAATCTAAGCATTAAATATATTCATATTGGTAATGAAATGTGTGTTGAGTCAAAAAGTTAAATGGATTATACTTTAAGGAAAACTTAAAATACCATTAGCTACAAGTAAGAATTCTAATGAGTTGTTTAAGTTTCAAAACAATAAGTAATATTAACAATTTTAGGTAAAAATCAATATTAGAATGCAATGATTCATCATATGTGTTTTCAGGCAGCCATCTTAAAACATCTACATTGTATTTGTATCATTTTCTATACCCTCCCACCCTTACACATCAACATCACAAGTATGTCCTTGATCTCATCAACCAGTCCTGTCTTTTTTTTTTTCATTTAATTACAATTAAAATCATATTGTATAACAATACAATTCCTAGTAAAATCATATTCTAGGAGATGAAAATATTAAAACTGATCAAAAAATGTTCATAGCTAAGACTTTATGTTGTCGCATTCGTACATCCAACAACTCTAACATATAAAATCCAATACCATATCTATTAAACATTACAGACTTTGCAACACTTTGTGCAGTCTAGAATTCGCAAAAAAAAGTATGTGCGTAGGGCGAAGTAAAAATTGTAAGACTTGACACGATTTACCAACGTAAACGCCGAGTTTTATTGACATTTAAAATGTTATCGTAACACTATTATTTATGCACGTTTGAATAACGTTAAAATCTTCGTATCGGATAAAAACGCAAAACGATTGATCGTCGGTAAATAAATGGGTTTATGAGAAAAAAAAAAGGTACACCGACGTTTACGATAGTGTGCGTGTTGTTGGCAACGAAAACGTCGGCGACGAGTTGCGGAGAAAAAAAATACGAGACGCAATTGCCGTTCGGCGCCCCGGGGGGTGGCTTCCGGAGGGTCGTATTGTGTTGTTGTCGCACAACGCGTTCGAATACTCACGGGCGCTGAGACGTAGATCGACGTGCGGGGAACGGCTGCGCCTGGGCGGTGTTGGTCGTGCGGTTGTTGGTCGTGCGGTCGCTGGTCGTGCGGTGCTCGGTAGGTCCGTGCGTTGGAACGATCGGTTGCGCTGTGTGCCCGTGCGGTTATACACGGGATCCGCGCTCGGGGCGCTCTAGCACTCGCACGGCCCGTACCGTGCGGGGAGGAGGATGGTGGGAGGGGGAGAGGAACAAAGAGAACGGATGACGGCCAATCGAACGGGAACGGTGAGCGGGACGGCACCAGCGCGCCGTCTCGCTCGCGCCCGGCATGGTAAATATAGATAAGCGGCGCAATAGGACCCCCACCGGGCGGCGGCGGCGGCGCACGAAAGCATCGGACCGGAGGGCGGCAAGACGGAGTGGCCCCGATAACGAGCGATTCGTTAACGCGTACCGCGTGACTCACCCGCCCGCGGTCCACGGTCAGTCGTACCGAGCGACCAGCCCGCAGTGTTTGTGTTGTTATAAACCGCGTTTCCGCAAACCCGCTACAATTGTTTTCCGCACCGTCACCGTCCCAGAGGCCCATTACCGCGCAGCACCCGACAACCGACGCAGCTCGTCTCGTCCATTCGCCAACGATCGACTGTCGTGCGACGTTTACTGTCAGTTTCCAGCACGCACTCCCGACATGTTGAAGTTCATCGTGCTCGCCGCCATTCTGTTGGCCGGCTATTGCGTCCAGGGCGCCGACAGCGTGCTCAGTAAAAGGGCGTCGAGGTTACCGAGCTGTGAGTAGACCGACCACCGTTGTACGTCCGCTGGCCCGTGTGCTCATTCGGTTTTTTTTTCTGTTTTCCCCCTTTGACAGGCAGGAGCAAGCTGATGGATGCGCCCACCGACTGGATCACCATGGAAGACCCGTGCACGGAGAAGATGAGGGAACAAATCCAGACGGAGTTCGTCGCCTCCATGACGTACTTGGCGATGGTGAGTGTAACCGATGCCCGATACTCGTATTTCACGATAAACATGTCGATTAGGTTCCCCGAGTCTGTGACGGCTTAATGGCAGTGATTGACGTTTTAAAAAAGCATCTTCTATTATATTACACTGTTTAGCGATACTGCATTTAAATCCGCTTACAATGTTTGATTAAAGTTCACATCATAGAAAAAAATAAACCTAAACTTTTATTAAATGTCTTTAGGGAGCGTATTTTGCTCAAGATACTGTAAACCGTCCGGGATTTGCAAAAATGTTTTTTGAAAGTGCCAGCGAAGAACGGCAACACGCCATCAAGATTATTGGATATTTGTTAATGAGAGGAAAGTTGACTTCAGATGTTGGTCAATTAATCCGTGATCCCGTACGTAAATTAAATTTATTATCTATTGGGTATAGTTAATGGCTATTTTTCTCATCTTTTAATGTTGCAGCAACCTTTGGGTAGTACATATAGTTCTGGTGCAGATGCGTTGAAAAATGCATTAATATTGGAAGCTTCAGTCACTCGTAAGATAACGGAGATGGCTAAGGTGTGCGAAACAGAATTTGAGAAGGTAAATGCAACTGGACACTTTGAGAGAACAATGAATGACTACCATGTAAGTAGTATTTTATATTATCAATTTTACACAGTATACTTAATTTATTTCTAAGCAATATGAATGAATGAATTTAAAGTGTTTTATGAAAATAATGTTTCAAAATATATTCTTCATTGATTTGACACAACACTTTTATCAATTCAAGTATTGTCCATGACATGCTGAATCTCGTTATAATGGTTTTTTTTTTTTTTTTAATCCGGTTTAATTAAGATACTAGGAAAGTACTTAGAATAGGAATTAATACTTAATTGTGGTATATTTATTTACTGTGATAATTCTCAACAACAGTTATATAGTTTTTATATGTATATAAATATCCATTATCTTTTAAAACTATATGGTTTCAAGTATTTTTTAACAATAAAAAAATCAGTAGTTATTAAAATATAATCTATTCAGGCTTTAATAGTTTTTATAAAATTGTACAAATACTGTTTATACTGATAGCATAAAGATTATATAGTCCTATATAAATTGTGCTCTAATAATAAATTATTATTTGTAACTGATCAAATTACCTACCTTTCCATTTTTTGTTAGAATATAAATTAAATACTCTCCCGACAATTTCATTACTTTTCATGGATTGCTGTTATAACTATCTTCAAACTTTTATTTTATTTATATATTATCACATCTTAAAAACAACTTTTATAACTAAACATTCATAAATTAAAACTTCTCTTGCAAATGATTTTTAATTTTTTTATTTACATACTATATATTTTTAAGTTTAATATACCTATTATGATTAAAAGTTTTTATTTATTTGATAACTTATTATTGTTTCTATTAATGAGGGTTATTGAAACTTGTATAGTAAGGTTATATTTATTGCATGTCCCCTATACACATTATTTCGATTTAAATGGAAACATAATAATCTGATGTATTTTTTCTTCGACATATTATTGATAACGCATAGTTATTTTATTAAATCTATACATTGAACAATGAATATTGAAAATAAATATTACATCTATATAGCTTGAAATAATTATTTATAAATTGTCAATTGTAATAGAACGAGTATTATTTTTTTACTATTACAATTACTGCATTAATATTGCAGTTGGATTAATGGTTTATCAAGGCCATATTTCAAAAATCCTTGTATAACATTACCTTAAGTATAAAGAGAATTTATAATGCTGGTTTATATATTGTAGTTATTTAATATTACTGCTATTATATTTATATTGATATAAATATTCAGTTGAACAATTAAATATGTTGTCTAGACAAATGTGTAATACAATTTTAATTTTGTTCTTTGAGTTACGTAAGTTGTTTTCTAAATCTTATTATTTTCCCAATTGATTACTAGTGTTTAAATGTCTTGGGTTAGATAATCAATAGTTGTAATAACAAATTAAAGAAACACGTTTATGTTTAGAATAGTTTTGGCAATAATAATTTATTACAGTAAGAATTTGTTGTTTATACGTACTAACAAATATTTTATTCAATAAATAATAATTATGTATGCGTAACTGAAAACTTTATTTCTGTTGATTTCAATTATTTAATTATTATTTATTTATTTCTTGTATATTTTAGTTGGTTGATTGGTTAACTGGTGATTTCTTGAATGAACAATATGAAGGTCAACGTGACTTGGCTGGTAAATTGTCAACTCTCAATAAAATGATGGAATCCCATGGAGCTCTTGGTGAGTTTCTCTTTGACAAAAAACTATTGAATGGAAATTCAGTTTAATTTATTTCTTATGAACAACATTACAAACATTATCCAAAGTTTTTCTTTAATTTAATATAATTTTGTAAAATGATTATAACTATTATTCATAAACATACTTATACAAAAACTTAACCAATGATGATCATTTAGTATAGTGATAGTAACATACGTAATTTTATTATACTTTTGATAAAAATACTTAAGGTCAAAATCTCTATTTCATTTCATAAATATTTTATCTTTTTTAAATTATATTAATATTTTAAATCAAATTATTTTTTATTAATGCCATATTATTTATAAGCAAATATACTGTTAAAAATAAAACTCACAAATTAAATGCATTAAATTGTACGTTTCATTTTTATTATGTTGCAATGTTATCTGACAATCTTAATTTTCCGAAACCTATCACGTATACATTATTATTTACTGTATCTTTCAACATTTTTTTTTCTAGTTAAGTGAATGTTTAAAATTATAAATACAATTTAAAGTATAAAATCATCTTTGTATATCATTACTTTTGTAAAATTATTTTTTTTATTATTTAAGAAATAAAACATTGTAGTATCAGAATAGTCGTATTTAACATTACGGTTTATAATGTTCAAACATTTAAATAATGTATTTTAAATATATATATAAATATATATATATATAACTTATTTATAATAATAAAGTGTAGTTGTCAATCATTTTTTTTCCCTCTTTTCCTATACGATATGTATCAGTGATGGTTCATGAGCTGAACGGACGAAAAAAATATTTACTCCATACGACCTGTTACGAGACTCGATAATCGGTAAAACCAATTATTATAAACCGCCGCGAAAGCGCGAGTGCTAAACATACGATAAGGTTCAATATCTTAGAGTTTAGCGAAGAAGAGGAAGAAGAAATAAATTCTGTTGTGGTGGTAATCACACTACAGACGACGAATTCGTAGTTCCGAAGGTTCGTCGATGCACTACGAATAAACATAATGGATAATTAAATCGACTCCGATGCACACGTTATTCGATCGCCCCTCTCCACTTTGTGGTATTTATATACGGACGGATGAGGCGAAACATACGCGTAGCCAATCTTTGGCCTTTCCTACCCGTCGAGTCGCTGTTCAACACAATAACACTGTAGCGAAGCTTGTCACCGTCACGGCTTTTGAATACCTATTACCCGGCTGAATAATCGACGCAGCGTAAAACGTTTTCTTCTACGCGTCTACCGTTTTTTTTTTTTTTCGTCATAAATAGATCTAAAATATCTCGGACACACGTCGCAAGCGAATTTTTGGCCGCCGACAGTTGGCCGGAATTCATCGTGCACGTGTAGTTCGTGTCTTATGCCTCTCGCCACAAGGGGCGTCCGGTCGATTACAATCACTTCGTCCGGGGCAGGCGTAAGGCTAAATGACACCTTTTTCATATAACAACCCGTAATATCATTATACTTAGAAAAAATGATATACTATGCTCAACTTGTACATCGTTTGTTATTGTCTAATTTTTTAGTCACGAGTCACGACGGCTCGACGCGATCCCGATTGAACGATAACAAATACTTGGGAATTCTAACAACATTTACGATAAAATATTCTACACTAAACCTTAGTCAGTAACGGTGTTAGAGTTTGTGAGGCCCTGGGTTAAATAAATGTTGGGTCTTATAATTTAAGGTGCGGGGCCCTGGGCAACTGCCCCTATTGCCCACCCCCTCGCGCCATCCCTGACTATAGTAAATATACTTAAAATATACTTATATTATTTTAATATACGGCTAAACGAAATAACCATAACTATTATCAATATTTCAATACAAAGTTATAGGTATTTTACATTAAAAAAATAATAATAATAATAATATTGCTGACATATACACACAATTGTAAAAATAATTTTGGCGCCCCCCTGAAAATGGCGCCCTAGGCGATCGCCTGAGTCTCCTTACCCTCAATGCGAACTGTTCGTAAAGTTTACAGTACAAAGGTTTTTTTTTTTTTTAATTTTTACAACCATCAGCGTTAAAAACACGATTTTTTTACTCTCTCTACAGCGGTCGGATTAGCCACCGTCGTACGTATCGATGACGTACACGCGTTTTTGACAATTACCGGATCCGCAGCGTTATTGCACGTTGTTGTAATAATTATTAACCAATGTTTTAGTTCATACGCTGGTCAATCGCAATTACTGCGTCGCGTTACACCGATCTGCATTAAATATTACGAACGCCAACGACGGGTTCGTGTTCAATAACAACCTAGTTTATTTTTCGAACCGAGTAGAGCTACAACTTATTTTTATTGATTCGATTTCATTTTAAACCGTATTGTAATTCGAATCGCGGTGTAACGTTTCCGTGTGTTGCTGCACGATTTTATGTATACAGCGCGAAAATATTCATCATTTTTATATTATTTTGCTGTGCACCGAACAGAAAACGGATGTACCCAGTAGCGTTGGAATTCGGTAGTTTTCGAGAAAAAAAATAACACTACAAAAGCACATTGTATTATTAAATATTTGAAACTCGTGGGACACGTATGCGATGATCTACTGTACCGTATGAACCATTTTTTTCTTCTATTGTTGTATAAAGGCTTCGCCTTGTCGCTGCGACAATTGTTCTCTCTCGTTTGCCAGTCTTTTCATTTCTTTCATTACTTGCTGGAGATCATAACTTCTTCGTATCCTCTAGATTCGTTTCGATAAAAAACCTGTTTATCATATAACTATTATTCGTGACCATTATCATATTATTAATGGTTTTTAAAATAAACCATAATCGTGTTTTCTTTGATATAGGTACGTCGAAACATAATGTACGCAACGAATATAAAACGTGAAAATCTGAGCGCATTGAAAAGTACCGTAATTCAAGGCTTCGAGTTAACTGCATTACAAATAGACGCGACTTTACCGCGAAAGAGAAAAAATAAATACACGTAATCAACGTAATTATGGTATTACTGATCATCGAAATCGGGTTTTGATCTATACAACGTGCCGTTTTTGTCGCTGAAAATTCTACGAACCTAGGTTTTAAAAGTTATTGACGAGAACTGGAATACAGAAATATTATTGTATACCGGGAAATCGTTATATTTGTAGATACTTTTACGCCGGGTCGCACAAATATTAAAATAAAAACGGTCCTATAAGCTGTGAAATCAGTTCGACAAGTAATCAATTTCTCTATTGAACGCACAAAGTTATGTTCGGTTGCATAGTTTTATTAAAATGTAATGGTTTGGTCATTAACCTGGATCATGTGTTTATGAATTACAAAAAAGTGATCAATGTAAATGTAGTCAATCAGTGTTGTCTACTTATTCCTATTTTTTACTTAAATCTTTAATTTTGTAAATATTGAACTAGTTGGATATTGAATATGACCCATAAAAAATAAGAAAAAATCGTAAATAAATATAATAATTATATAATAATAAAAATACTGTTCGAGCGGATTAAAACGATCATGATGTATTCTTGGCATCGGTTAAACAATAACATTTTCTGCGACGTATTTTCCGTCAGAATTGTCAGATGATGTTGAACGATGTTGAATACATTGACATTTTGATTATATTTATTATATTATATTTAACTATATTTTAATTCGAGGTATGGACAAAACGGATATTGAAATAATAATAATACAGTTTAACAATAAAAATATTACCACAAAAAGTAAGTTTATAGTATAAATATTATTGTTAGTTGTTTCGAGTATAACATATAATAAGATAAAAAGTTAAACTCTTTTTTTTTTTTTATTATTATTATTATTTATCGAACCAAAAACGGGCCCACAATTCATCGGTTCGATAACACTATATTTATTGAATCGATAAAACAAAAATTTTTTGCGCAATTGATGGAAATTTTATCGATTCGATTCCTTACTTATCGGTTCGACAATTAGTTATTGATCGTTTGTACTACCCGACATTAGAATTTCTTGTTCTACTGCTGTATAACATACTTGTTATTCACGTGAGCTGTAATAGTGATGGGATAAAGCGACTTTTACTACCGATTATTAGACAGTTTTCATCACGTGTTGCCGACTAGTTCAACTAAAATTTGCATAACCAATTATTTATAAGTCATTAACATTAGTCGACTAATTATTTCGAAATTATAATTATATATTTAACGTAATCATTATTTTGGTCGAATCCGAACTACTGACTAATTTTAAGAAATTCAAAATTAGCTTCCTTCATAGTCGTTAATTCGTAGCTCATAGGGTTAATCAAAAATAGTCATACAAAATGTATACTGATAATAACACACACGCGCTATAATACACAAAATTTTATAATAAGCAGAGGTGTATTAATGGTCAATATATGAAGGGCAAAATAATTTTGGGCCCCTATGCATATTGATAAATAAATATGTAAGTAATAATAAGAGAAAACAATTTTTCATCGCTTCGCTTGAACAATTATTTCTTCAACTTCACATTTTTATCGAGTTTAAAATGTATTGATGTAAATTATATTATGTTGCAATAAAATCAAAGTTAATATAACCTAAATGAATTAAATATAAGATACCTACATCCATAATAATAATTTATATTTTTGTATCTGTTTATTTTTTAAATATATGTCAATTAATATATATTATTATTACCTATATAGTATATATACCTAATACAGTCAACTCTCGATAACTCGAAGTTCAAGGGGAAAAATAAAAATTCGACTTACTAAAAATGTCGAGTTATCAAAAACTTTTAGTAAGTATATTTTTATTTTTAAATAATTTTTACATTAGAGGAATAAAAAAATATATTTTCTTGCATTCCTATATATTATATATGAATATATAATAATTCTATTTCCTAAAATACCTAGTGGTTTAAATAAATAATTTCGGTAAAATATTTTAAAATTATTTATTATGCCTTGGTGTAATGGTTTTAATACAAATGTAGAATTAGGATAAACAAACTGCACTTGAATAGCATTAAAAGTTGAAGTTAAATTGTAGCAGTACAATTATTAATAATAAGTAAGATTTTCCTTTACTTAGTGATCATTTTTTTATCTAATTTCATTAACCACAAATTAAAAATTTCAGAAATCATCCAGGATTTTTTATTCGCATAATAATCTAATGGTAATAATTTTACTTGTTTAAAACATCTTGATTTTTTCGACTTATCAATCAAAAA